ATGTATGCAAATTCAAAAAGAGAAAATTGCCTTTTAGATTTACCGGTTCTGTAGCCTACTAAAAAAAAGGGATCAGACACAGGATTAGGTCTTGTCAAATACAAAAGTGAATCAGACGGTTTCACCAACGAGAGTAATCCAAACGGCTCTCTTATCGAAAGAAGAAACGACGGTGGTCGTAAAGTACTGTAGGAAACCATATACCGCGCGGCATTCTGCTACTGACTGTTGACGTCATAATATTATTTTAAGCAACGGGGTTTCGTTTAGTCCAAGACAATCCAAAATTTACAAAAAAGAGGAGCCCTGTATCTTGCGTATATGTGCCCCACCAGCAGAAGTACATATAAATCTTGATCGTCTGTATCGTTTACAGCTTGAAAGAAGAAGAGCATGGGAGCACAACAATACAAAACATGTTAGCTAGGGTGACACGGAGACTCATGGTTGTTGTCACGTTCCAATAAGGGGCTAATTTCAAGAAAACGCGCCAACTTTTGAGAAGGGTGTCCTCCGTAAAGCGCCTCTGATGGCTTCTTCTTATCTTTTTCAAAAATAAACTTCAAACGATTAAGATTCTTTAGATAATATTCAAGTACCCAAAAACGAGGGTGCGGCGGCAGAGCGGTTAGTGCACTCGTCTCTGAAGCTAAAATTCCGGATTCGAGCCTCCGTTCGGACGTGGATTTTTTTCGCCCCCTCCTGCCCACCCAGCAGTAATGGGTACCTGACTTCAAGTTGGGGAAGTAAAGGCGGCGTGGAAAGAAACTGGCCACCCTACCAGAATATGCCTAAGGCCCAGGAAGTTTTCTCACTAACAAGGCAATCCCCAATGTCCGGATCGGAAGCGGGAACAACTTTTTACCCCCAAAATGGACAAAGTTAAAAATCGAATTTTTGACAAAAAACATTGTGTTTTGCAGCTCTGTGACATGCCATAAGAGAGTCCATCCTCCCACCCCCCAAACCACCACCCACCCACCCCTCTTAAATCACTACCAATGACAATCTCTGCTAGCCCTCAGTTGAGGCATAGATGTGAAAACTGTCAACGATCAGAGGTAGAATTAGAGCTGTCACATTATTGGCTAACCTTGATTTCATTTCTACACCGAGATTTTTTTTCGACTGCTTGTTCTATTTTTCCTCCGCAAATTGACCTTTTCGTTTTTCATGAGCATTTTAGATTCGTGATTGGACTCTCCAAGAGTCATGTTTATTTGGGTTCGCCTTTTCATTAACATTTCTCGAACGATTTGAATTCGCGGATTTCTGAAACATCGCGAGCATTGCTGATTCACATAACGTGCGAGAGGAAAAAAATTAACCTACCCC